AAAAACAGACCAAGTCGACAGAACAACCAGAGGAGATAATGAGTCAGTGAGTGAGGGGAAGGAAAAAGTCAATCAGAAACCTCCAGAGAGTAAAATTAAGATCGAAACTGGTTAAAGGCACAGCCGGCAGAGAAATGACCTACAACAGGTCCCCCTTCCCTCAAAACAGCAAGATCGAAGGACGAAAACAAGGAAAATCAACAGATTGATCCTCACTAGAGAGAGGCACCCTTTAATACCATAAATGTCACTTTTGTTATCAGAATAAAACATAATATATGTCACTTGTGTTTTTTTGCATGTTAATAGAAGATTGAGATTGATGTATATAGTTTACATGTCATTTGTCTTTTCTCTTTTTATATTAAAATGTTAATAAAAGATTGAGAATGAAATAAGAAAATTAGGGTGCTAAATGTAATAAGTTTTAATTGAGAAGAGAAAGTGACAATTACTCATAGTGAAGGGGTAAAGTGTTAATTCACCCTATACAATATCAGAAAAATGTGCTCCGAGTACCACTTGAACTCAGTGATAGGTTTTAATATTTAAAAAGTCTTAATCCAAGGGTTAGCCAGTGAGTGTAATTGAAGGGCCTTAAAGTCGTTTAAATATTTCATTGGGGCATTGTTTTCCACATCCATGGAGGGTGGGGTGAATGTGAGAGGTTGGACAAAAAGAAAAGGGTGGACGCACGCACTTTAAGAATTTCTCTGTTGTCTGTCCCATGTGTCGCCTGTCTGTCCCCATTTGAGACTGCCACCCTGGCTTGGTCTTGGTCAGCCTTAGGGTGCCGTGTGATTCAGAATTTGCACGATGAACACATTTTGTTGTAATTTAATTTTTTATTATTTAACATTTAGGTGTCGTTTGGTAACACTTACGTTTTCAGTTTTCTGTTTATATTTATAAAAATTTAAAAAACTCAAATAAAAACTTGTTTGGTAAAATTTTTGATTTATAAATCAGTGGTCTCAGTTTATAAATTTGGTCAAAAAATGAAAACACAAAAAATGTGTTTCCTCCCGCAGGTGTAAGGCAGCGCCGAATGAGGAGATCACCAGGGTGTCCTGTTGTCCGTTCTGAGTAAGAGACAGCGCCCCTTGAGGAGATTACTAGGGGGTCCTGTTGTCCGTTCCGAGTAAGAGACTATAACCTGGAAACTTGTCCCGACCTCCCAAGGGGCAAGCTCCGCCCAGGAGATTGGCCCAGAAGGGAGTTGAACACAGGACCTAGGGACTTAAACCCTAGGCCCTTACCAGGTTGCCACTTACCCCTTATTTTCTTTTTCACCTCTTATTATCATTTAACTCCTCCCTATCATAATTAAAAATTATTCACTTTGCTTGGTTTGGATTTTCTAAAAATACTTTTTAGAAAATTATACTTTCTTATTTTTTTTATTTTTTTTATTTTTACTAAAATGTTTAAATATTTGAAGTAATTTTTAAAAATTTTAGACACATTTAATATAAAATACACTTAAAAAGTATAATTTTCGTGAAAAAAAAAATTACAAAATTCACTAAATGTTAAAAATACAAAAAAATAAATAAATAAAAATTCAGTATATTTTTTGTATTTTGCATATTTATTATTTTTTTGAAATTTTTTTTCACAAATATTTTATTTTTTAGATACATCTAAGTAAAGTGTATCTTAAAAAGTAAAAAAAAAAAGTGCTTAAAATTTTAAAAATATTTACTAAAAACAAAAAAATATGAAAAATAAAAACTTAACTTTTAAAAACTGAAACCAAATACACTGATTATTATTTTTCCCCCTCAAATCTTCTAAGAATATACATATATATGTTGGCAAATGATTGGATCATATATATATATATATAATAAGGGAAGAATGTTTTTGAATTTATCCTAGAAACAATTGTTCTACTAGGACATTTGAATGGTTAAGATTCATTTCTGCTTAAAGATGGATGGTAGAGATGATACCCTTCTTTTCACTCTACTTCAACTTCCCGGCCATCCTGATCTGTCTCACCTCACTTCAAAACACACCCACCCACTCTCTACAGAAAAGAGATCTATGCTAATCGAACTCTCTCTCTAAAGTGTCTCTCTCTCTCTCTCTCTTTCTCTCTCACTCTCTCTCAGCCTTACTTTACACACTTATCTTCTGCTGCCAGATCGACTTTACTCTTCATCACCTCAACGATGTGAAGCCACACAGAGAGTTCAAGACGACAAGGAAGTCTTGCTCACCACCTCTCCGCCGCACTTGCACTGTCGGATCTAATGGAAGACCCTTCAATTGTACTGTCGTTTTCAAGTGTGTATAAAGTCTTGAATTTTTTTTTTAAAATTTGTCAAATGATGTTTTATTATGTGCAAAGGGTTTGAAGAGAACGATGATTATTTGTTTCCATACATTTTATACATTACCAAGATACGAATCACAATCTGCCGAACTCGCAAGATTGTTTCTCATTTTGATTATTTGTTTTTTGGGTTTTAATTTTTATTGATTGATTTAAAACCAATTTTATATATAGATGTATAAGCTAAATTTTTTTATCAATAGTTAGTATAGAGTATGTGTGTTCAAATTGTGAGATGATTTTTTATATTTGGTTAAACATTACTGGTTAGAGTTGAATTTTCTACTTTAAAAATGTAGATTGATGATCTCAAGCATGGCCCATTTGCTAAGGTAAAAAAGTGAAGAAGAAAAAGAAGAAAGAGGGGGACTCGAATGTATATATATCTAGGGTGTTCCTTCATTTATCTCTCTGCTCCTCCCTTATTCTATTTATTATATATAAACATACATGTATTTGTTTGTACTGTTTTGAAAATAAAGGATGGTGAGTGTGGGGATATATTTTCTGAGTACCAACACGTGGAAAGGTGACGCCGACGTGTCATCCGAGGTGCCACGTGTCTTGGTCGTTGTGCCGAGGTCATCTCGGCTAGGCCGAGGTTGCCTCCGAAGATATCGGAATCCGAGATAAGCGGATAAGGGACAAGAGTTCTAGAATGAAGAGGGAACTCAACTTGGACATGGACAAGAGTCCTAGATTGGGAGAAGACTTCAGTTTGGGTAAAGATAAGACTCTTAGAAAGTTTATCCTAATCCCACCGGGAGTCCCAGATTAGCAGTAATCCTAAGTCCATTAGGGCCAGGCTCCTTTTGGGACTAGGATTGTATTGGCTATAAAAGAGAGGCACCCCCATGGGTCTAAGGTATGTTTTTGATACTCAAGCTTGTGAGTTTAGTACTTGATTTATCTTTAAGAGATATACTGACTTGATCGTCGGAGTGTCCCCGGGTGGTCAAAACCACCGCGGGATTCTTATATTTCTGTTGCAGGTCAGTCAGGTGCCATCTATTCTGCCAGTGCTCTCCAGCTAGTTATTAAGCGGGCAGTGTGGTCGGAAAATCACCCACACAATTTGGCGCCGTCTGTGGGAAAGAAAAAAGAATAGATGGCCAATGACGGACAGAAGGATCAGACTGGAGACAACGCTCCTGCTGGGAATGGGAGATCTATCAACCTCGACGTTGAAGGGGACAATAGCAACACAGAAACTCTTGAAGGGACAAGAGTCCTAGAATGAAGAGGGAACTCAACTTGGATATGGATAAGAGTCCTAGATTTGGAGAAGATTTCAGTTTGGGTAAAGATAAGACTCTTAGAGAGTTTATCCTAATCCCACCGGGAGTCCCAGATTAGCAGTAATCCTAAGTCCATTAGGGCTAGGCTCCTTTTGGGACTAGGATTGTATTGGCTATAAAAGAGAGGCACCCCCATGGGTTTAAGGTATGTTTTTGATACTCAAGTCTGTGAGTTTAATACTTGATTTATCTTTGAGAGATATACTGACTTGATCGTCGGAGTGCCTCCGGGTGGTCAAAACCACCGCGGGATTCTTATATTTCTGTTGCAGGTCAGTCAGGTGCCATCTATTCTGCCAGTGCTCTCCAGCTGGTTACTGAGCGGGCAGTGTGGTCGGAAAATCACCCACATAGTGAGAATGGTGGTAGTGAGAGAGAGAGGGGAGGTGGCGGTCTTGCTGGGATGATTTTTTGATAATTGGGTTGGGTTGGGTTGAGTTTGTTTTTTTTTTTTTTTTGATTAAATTAGTTATAAAAAAATAAAATAAATTAAAAATTAATGATAAAAAAATATCATATTTAAATCATAATCTTTTTTTCTCATAAAAATTTAAAAAAACAACTCAAACAAATTTTTTAATCTATACTAAAATAATTAAAAAAATCAAAAAACTTTAAAATTAATTCAACTTTCCAAACGAAGCAAGGGGTTTGGCAAGATTAGTCGTGGATGGCGAATGGTGAACCGGCAATACTTGGTGTTAACATGTGTTTTCGTGGAAAAATGAAAAAAAAAACCACTCACACGTACTTATATTCTAATCTCAAAATTATATATTATATATGAGATATGAATATATATTCTCCTCTCTTATACATATTTTTCTTCTATTCATAAAATTTATGTGTATATATTTTGTACAAAATAATATGACTCACTAATACTAACATTTTTACTTTAAAACAAAACATTCAAAAAAAATAATTTTTATTTTCAAACATAGCATTGTTTTATGTTTGAATATAGTTTTTTATTATTTTATGTGAGCAATTTTGAATTATTTTAAAAAAATAATTAAAAGTTAATTTTTTAATTTTTTTAAAAAACATATAAAAAAATGTAACAAATAATATGATTTAAAATGAATTAAAAATTAAAAAATAATTTTTAACTACCTTGCCTTTTATATTAGGTTAATTTCTTCCAAAATATCTTCCTTGAGGTAGTACCATAATATCCCATTCTGATCTTCTACACCGGAAACTTTTGCGCCACCCTTTTCTGTTTTCTGTTAAACCGAATCTTCAGAAAATATATAAAAAATATAACAAATAATATAATTTAAAATGAATTAAAAATTAAAAAATTATTTTTAACTACCTTGCCTTTTATATTAGGTTAATTTCTTCCAAAATATCTTCCTTGAGGTAGTACCATAATATCCCATTCTGATCTTCTACACCGGAAACTTTTGCGCCACCCTTTTCTGTTTTCTGTTAAACCGAATCTTCAGAGCACTCTTTTCACATTCTTCGTCATCTTCATCTTCTTCTTCTTCTTCTTCACCACATCAACTCTCAAACAAAACCCTAATTTCTGCTACATTCCCTTTCTTTCTTGGCATCCCCTAACCTGATAAATACATACATTTATATATATACACCAGAACATCCATGAAAGACCATAAGACCATGCAGAATCAGCAACAACAAGCTCTCTCCAACCCCTTTGAAACCCTAACTGAAGAAATCATATTCTTAATCCTCGACCACCTCAACGACGACCCACTCGACAAAAAATCCTTCTCACTAGTCCGCAAATCGTTCCACTCCATCGAATCTCGGCACCGCAAGACCCTGAAACCCCTTCGCACTGAGCTCCTCTTGAGGACACTGAATCGATACCCGTCTATAACTCATCTTGACCTCACTCGCTGTCCTCGAGTTGAGGACAATTTGCTCGTTTCTATATCGACTGTTTATAGATCGACTTTGGGATCTATCGACCTTTCGAGATCCAGATTTTTCACGAATGTCGGGTTGTCGAGTTTGGCTGCGAATTGCTCGGCTTTAATCGAGATTGATTTGTCGAACGGGACGGAGTTGAGTGATTCGGCGGCGGCGGCGATTGCGGAGGCGAAGAACTTGGAGAGGTTGTGGTTGGCGAGGTGTAAATTGATATCGGATATAGGGATTGGGTGTATTGCTGTTGGGTGTAAGAAGCTGAGGTTGATCTGCTTGAAGTGGTGTTTGCGTGTTAGTGATTTGGGTGTGGGTTTGATTGCTATCAAGTGTAAGGAGATTCGTTGTTTAGATCTCTCTTATTTACCGGTAATTTTCCCTCTCTCCCGTGTTTGGTTGCTGAGTAAACAGAGGAAAATGAAATATAAAAGGAAACCTTTATGTTGTCTTGAAATCTTATATTTGTAATTTAGTTTTGTTTCATTTCCTACATTTTTCAGCAAAGTTTTGTCCTTTTCTATTTTTGTCAATGAGGCTGGTAGTTTTCTGTTTGATTTGTTGGATTCACACCATAATGTAGAGCCCAAATTATTAATTTCAGCATTATCTTGTTTTGGGTTTTTTTAATTTATTTTTTGACAAACAATCTGTTGCAATCTGATTGGAGGTTTCACATGTCAAAGTTGATTTGTCTGAATTGTTTGGAGTGAAGTACAAATCGAAAATTGGGCTATTTTAGATGTTGAAATTGAAACATGGGATCCTTTAGATGAGTTGGGTAATGCCATCCTTGAAATTGATTGATGTTATCAGTTTTCTGTATGATTGATAGTCAGATCAAGTTATGTCTGCAGCTTGTATTAGATTTCTATGTCTAATTTAGGTTGATCAAGTTATAAATTATGTTGCATTTTCCAATTTTTGGTAAATTGTTGATGAGATGGAATCACAAAAACAGTAAAGAAAAAAACAAAGGGACATATTCTTAACCTATTTCTTCAATGTTATTTGATCATTGATGGGTAGGTCATGTTTGGGTAGGTGACAGTTGGCTCATCAATAAAAAAAAATGGGCCCTGGAAAACCAACAGTAATTTTTATTTTTATCTTCTTGTAATTCCACTGGTGGCAAAAAAAGAGCTAAGTAAACTTTTTTGTTATTTAGTTTTTCAATTTAAGCTATCTAATGCATGCCTTTACTTCAATATGGATTTGACTAATTGAGTGCTAAACTTAAATGTTGCGGTTACATTAGCAACACGTGCATAATTGAATAATACAATAGTGACATCCAAAAGACCGGTGCATGTTCATTCGATCATAGTTTCCTGGTTCCGTAGAAGTAAATAAAATTATAAATCAAATTGATGAGTTGAGGCATAGATATCTTATTGATATAAATCAATCAATTTGTTTCTCTATTTGTATAGGGAAGTCTATTATGTTTTATCTCCCTGTTGATTTATTATGTCAATAATTATCTTAGTTGCTAACCATAAACATATTAAATCTGACAATCAGAGCAAGCTCTGTTTACTTATTGTTCTGGTATGTGTACTCTTGGGGAACTTGTCAAACTGAAAGTTGCCTGTTTACACCTGCAGATCACAGAGAAGTGTCTTCCACCTATTATGCAGTTACAATATCTCCAAGAATTGGTTCTCATGGGATGCCCTGGTATTGATGACGAGGTCCTTGCAACCCTAAAGCAAAGTTGCAAGTCGCTAGAGGTACTTCTTTTCCTTTTTGTGAAAATGAATAAGACCCCAATTGGTGTGGTGGCTTCTAATGAAGTGCTTTTGAGTTAAAAGTTTTGTGGAGACGAGATTGTTGTAAAATGTTTTGCTACTGCTTGGTTGGTAAACTTGATAAGGACTTCTTTATCATCTTTTATGTTGAAGAGCCATAGTTACTGCTTTGTTTGAAAGTGCTTTTAGTAAATAAATAAACTCTAGCACATCAAACTGCTTTAAAGATGTTAGATGTAGCCAAACACACCTTAAATCGTTTCAAGGGCCGCATAGGCAGTTTCAAACTAAACACATCCCATTGCCCAACGGGGCCAAACTAAAAATACACCTCTGTCTTTCTCTATCTTGCATGCACACATGCATTTGCAGGGGATGTACATCGAATAAACATTTTATACTACTATGGTTACTCCAATCAATAGAAGTTGGCAATAGTTTCTGAGTTTCTTTTACTAAAACAATAAAATGGTTCACCTACTTATATTAGTCTTGCTTTCCAATTGATAGTTTTCCCACTCTTATCTTTCCAGGTTATTAATATATCGAACTGTCAGAATGTCAGTCACGTGGGTTTGTCTTCTCTAACAAATGGTGCTGGAAGCCTACGCCAGCTTATCATAGCATATGGCTCTGCTGTAAGTGTAAAATTCTATGGTAATCACTTGGTAATTTGAAACATCTTTTATTGGTCCATTTTTGACATTTTTAGTGGGGGACCTTGTGGTTTAGGTCACTGTTGATCTGGCGAAAGGTCTGCAAAATTTTTCAGCCTTGCAATCTATCAAATTAGATGGTTGCCTGGTCACATGTGCTGGCATGAAAGCCATGGCAAATTGGTGTGCATCCTTGAAGGAGCTGAGATTATGTAAGTGCTCGGGAGTGACAGATGAAGGTCTCTCCTCCATTGTGCAAAAACACAGAGAATTGCATAAGTTAGATATCACATGTTGTCGCAAGATAACTCGTGTCTCTATAGACAGTATAACAAATTCATGCTCCTCCCTCACATCTCTCAGAATGGAGTCATGTACCATGGTTTCAAAAGATGCTTTTGTGCTAATTGGACAGCGTTGCCAATTGTTGGAGGAACTGGACGTCACAGATAACGAAATCGATGATGAAGGTTTTACCTTGAACCTATGCTGCATTGTATAAACAACAAAGCTTTTTACATGATTTATGCTTCTCCATTTCTGCAGGTCTGAAGTCACTCTCAAGATCTTCCAAACTGTCTACCTTAAAACTAGGAATTTGTCTAAATATAACTGATGATGGACTTTCACATGTTGGAATGTGTTGTCCAAAGCTTAGAGAGCTTGATTTGTACAGGTTTGTGAATGTTAACATGATTTACATACTTGTATTTTATAATTTTCATTTGGAAGTGCAAACTTCTGCCTTTTTCCTTTGATTTGAGGAGCACTGCCCCACAATCTTTGTATTAGAAGTGGAAAAAGAAGATGGATTCATGTTACTTTTTGAAGCTATAAAGACAATACCTCTTTTCCATGGTCTTTCTATTTTATGCACTCAAGTTCTTGTTGTACACAAATGGATTATAATACCTACAACATTAACATATGCAAATTAATGTGATGTGGCATTTACATATTTATGGATTAATTTCCCTCCTTGTCATGCCACCCAATACTAGTTGTACAGATTTTATGCTAGGAACATAATTAGGCCGCGGTAAGATTCCTGGATTGAAAGTGTGAAACTGTAGGAGCTGACTAGTACATGGACAGGGTATTGCGTTAGTAATGCTTCATCAAGGGAGGGAGTTCCCCATAGTATCTAGAAAGGACCGTAGACTCACAAAACAACAAAAAAAGCACATTTAATCTCTCATTCCAACCTTCCAAGACTTTCAGTAGATTATGTTATTGTTAAAGAACTTGTAATAAAATGGGTAGTGTGACTTGTTGAATGGTTTTCATCATAACCCTAGCTCAAGTCTGACCTAATTGCCACAAGTTTCTGATTGTCGTCCTCCTATCTAGGTCTATGAGAATAACCGATGTGGGCATGACCGCAATTGGTCATGGTTGTCCTGCCCTGGAGATGATTAACATGGCCTACTGCGACAAAGTTACAGACATTTCGTTAATTTCTGTGTCAAAATGTTCAAAGTTGAAGGCAGTTGAAATTCGAGGATGTCCTTGTGTATCTTCCGAGGGTTTATCAGCCATAGCTGTGGGATGTAGGCAGCTTACCGTGCTAGACATAAAAAAGTGCTTCCATATAAATGATGCTGGCATGCTTCCACTTAATCAATATTCCCAAAATCTTAAACAGGTACTCTTACTTTCTTTTCTTCTCATTTGGATCATTGCAGAATGATGCAAACTAACCACAAGAATTTATGGTATCTTTGCAGATAAACTTGTCATATTGTTCAGTAACAGATGTCGGGCTTCTAGCGCTAGCCAGCATCAGCAGCTTACAGAACATGACTATATTGCATGTAGCTGGTTTGACTCCAAATGGCCTTGCAGCTGCCATGTTGGCGTGTGGAACACTAACAAAAGTGAAGCTCCACACATCCTTCAAAGCATCACTTCCTCAATCTCTCCTTGATCACATGGAAGCTCGTGGTTGTGTGTTTCAGTGGAGGGACAAAGCATTTCAGGTAGTTATTTTCGATTTCTTGTACCTCAAATTATGGGTTGCTTGCTGTTCATATAATTTGATGTCTCATGACACAAACATGCTTCCCTCTTCTTTCTGGGAAGACATGGGATATATACATACACACACTTTTAACTTTTATTCTTATGGCAGTTGTAACATTGATATGCTGTTGCAAGATTCCGTGTGTTTTTTATTTTTGTTCTTCGTTCCTAATTTCCTATGAATTGGGAAGGAGGGCACTAGGGTTAACTGAAACTGGTAGCCTTCTTCTTGAGCATGTTATCTTTCAACACCTTTCAACCATTCATAATCACAATTATGTATTTCTTTGTGATCAATGTTGTTATGCTTCCAGGTTAAATTGATATTTTTCCCTCCAAACATTGCAAAATTTTAAAATGATCAGACTTAAATCTGACCCTACTAGAAATTAAATTTTTCATTAGAGTACTTGCTTATTAGTTCCATCATGACCAAACATGGATCATATGACGTGCACTTCTTATAGCTACTGAATTATAATCCCAAAGAACTAGACGTACTCCCCATCCTGTTGGATCGTAAACTAAAACAAAGTGAGCTTGTGGCTTACTGGAATCTTGTGACAAAAATAAAGCAGTAAATGCATACAATTTAGGGGCTGTTTGGCAACTTCCAAAAAAGTCAATTGTGGGGTAAAAAAGCCTAAAAGTCACTAAGCTGGCTTGCCATCAGCTAAAAAAGTTAAATGTCACCAACTTTCTTCCTCACAAAAAAGCAACTTTCTTCGCAATTTCCTAGACGCATTATTTTTTAACTCTAAAGCCACAAAAAAGCCAACCCCAATCGACCACTTACAACACGTCCCATTAAAATTTGTTTTCAGGTGTTCTAGTGTAGTGAATTTTCTTCCTCACCTTGTGATTTTAAAGATACTGAAGTTATCAGATGATTGTTGTGGTTGACAGTTTGAAATAGATCCAAAGGGATGGAATTTGTATTTCAGACGATAAATTGTGAACCCCTTATTCCTATTCCCAAAGCACCATAGATGAGAGAGTATGGACTCATGGCCATGACAAGGTGAGGAATGGATGGTAAAGAAACTGTGTTTGGTGCCTTTAGTTGTTGTTTCATTGGACTACAATTGACATTTTTATCAGCTACCCAGTTTTCTGTTTTGCATTGACAGTCAAAAATATGTTAGTGGAAAGAGTATGGGCTTGGGCTCCACAGCTGACTGGGCGTAGTGGATCCAATCCTCATTCGAGCCCAAGCAGGGGAAGAGTTACATTTGGACTTCCTGATATGGTGATAGCATCAAGGCCTCTCCCAAGCTCATTGAAGGATTTGCATACTATGTGATAAGCCTAGTGAGTCTGTTCAAAGTTTGACCTTGACTGCTTGCAATCTTCATGGATATATCTGTTGGAATAAAAAAAGTAGTATGACATAGAAAACAAAAGAATTGAAAAAGACTTTCCATTTGTATTTAAGCCTCTTCTTGGAGGGGAAGCAAAAGAAAACCTCCTGCATATTATGTGGCAAAATCTTGATAGTCAAACTGAGTGCATCTTGATTTAAAATTTTCCATAATTTTTAGTTTCTGAAAGATTTTTTAATGCCAAAGTCTGTTAAAACTTTGTAGAAATTTCTATTTTCTATGATTATTGTGTAATTGACGGACATGATTTCGTCTTGTTCCATGTGTTTTTTTCATTGTTTTATCTTTTATGATGAAAGAATTAATTTGGTATTCAGGGTCATGCATGTTTTTTTATCAACTCATTCCTTATTATTAGTTTATCAGTTCATTTTCTGTGTGAACATGACGAAGGCATTGGTAAGATGAAGTGTGTAGTTTGAAATTAGTAAGTTTGACAGATTAGAGGTGGCAAATGTATGAGTTCTGATGGGTTAAAATGAGTTGGGCATTTAAAATAACTCAAATGAACAAGTTCAAATCTTTGGGGTTAAATTTGATACGAATTTTGGACAAATTAATCCGACCAACCCTCTTATTCTAGTGATTACAACTCATGAAGCTCCTAGTAAAATTATAGATATTTTGTGTATCAGGTAACCCTTTTATCTTATATAGGGTTGTAAACGAATGAAATTAAGCCAAGTAATATATTATTGAAGTTTGGTTTGAAAACTTAAAATGAGTTTCAAAATATATTCAGTTTAACTTGTTTACATAATAAGACAATTGCAAATGAAATTTTAATGAGTTAAACACATATCAACTCAAGTAGGTTGTTCAAATTTCATTTCTAAACTGTAATGGCTCTATTTGGTTTTAATTTTAGAATCAATTTTCTTAAATTTTTTTGTGAAAAAATAAAAATTGATTTGACAAAAATAAAATACCATAAAAGAAATTTGGAAAATTTATTTTTATTATAAAAAAAAGAGTAAAATTATACAAAAATGATGAGTATTTTTTATTTATTATTATTTTTCATTATATTAGTTTTCAGTATTTTTTTTAAAAAAAAATTAAAAAAAGGTTTCTAAAAATCAAATAAAATTAACAACTTTTAAAATATGTTAAAATTTAATTTACTTTCATAATAAATTAAACTTAAATAAATTTTCAACAACCGAATCCAAATTGAATTGAGTTTAAATAATTTGATTAGTTTTGGAGTTTTTAATGTTACGTGTGCTTGGGACTTTCATAATAATACATGTGTGAATTAAAATAAATTATTATATATAATTTTATTGCCCACTAAATTTTATTTTTTTCATATATTATACAAAATAATTAATAAAATTAAAAAGACATGCAACATAATTAAAATGGATCATGATAGAGGGCTCTAAACAATGAACTTTAACTCTACTGAAGTAGTAGTAAAGAAAAAAAAAAAAAAAAAAAAATCAAATCAAATCAAATCAAAATATCACATTAATAGATAGAATCCACTGGTTAGAATTCTTAAATTAGCACTCTCAAATAATTTTGAATTAAAATTCATGAAAGAATTTGCCCTGAGGGAGGGGAGCTTGGCAGAACGTTATCGGTGGGTGGCGTGGAGCTGGCGGCGGCTGAGCCTCTGAGATATTGGGAGGGAGAAGCAGGCACGTGTTAGGCAGGCAACCACTCATCAAACACATGAAAAATAATAATATGCCGTACAAATCGTACCAATCCTAGCTTAATTTATTTCTTTTTTATAATATAAAATTCTCATTGCCTGAGATTTTGTTTACAAAAACGCTTGGAGTTTTAATCAGACTCATTATTAATGATGTGGCAGTGGAACAATGTATATTATTTCTTGTTTTTTTTTTTTTTTGTCAATTTCCACCTCGTTAGTAGTTAATTTAGAATTCCTTATTTATAGTTTTAAATCATTGTTGTTGTGTTTATGATCTTCTTGTTTGAAACTAAGATAGCTTATCTAGTAGTGTGGCATTGAGTCAAATTTGATTAAACGATATAAAAAAAATACTATAATTGAAAGTTTTTTTTTTCTCGAAAAAGGTAAAATGAAATCTTATATGTTATTTTTTTTCAAATATTGTATAACCAATCTTCAAAATACATGTATAATCAATCTTCGATGGATATTTTTAACGATTCAAAGTAACTCATGTGAATTGGCGGGAAAATGAGTTAATCTGTGGATTAGCTCAATTGGCTCACAAAAGTTTGAACCGACAGGTGTAGATGGAAAAAATACCATCACATCTAGTATTTATTGTTCAATCTGATATTAATTTAAGATTTAGTTTAACTGTTTCAATTATCTATTTAAAATAATAATAATAAGTGACATCCAAATGGAAATTACACTTCAACAATTAATACACTCAATTCAACTTATATTGGAAATAGTGTTCGATGAGTTAGGATGAGGATTAATTAAATTAATCATTTCATCAAAACATTTACATTTACCTAATAAAATACATTAAAATTATTGAAAATTAAAATCAAATGAATAGAAAAAGGTCAAAAAAAAAATGACAATACGGTGGGAGAGGGGCCCAGGAGAGTGAGATAACGCGTAGTCCCAATAGAAGCCGGCATCTCCTCCATGTGTCAAGCCAGCCAGTCAAACCCATGAACTTTGACCAATCACACTACGAAACAAACATGTTTATACAATTTTCCAATCCCACCCCAATGGTCAAACATCTCTTCACCTTCTCAGAACCCCCCCTTTTCCCACACAAAACAAGTAGAGAAAGAGAAAGAGAAAGAGAAGGAGAAGGAGAGAGAGAGAGAGAGAGAGAGAGAGAGATCCTTGTTCAATACTTGTTACATTTTCACTTCTCTCTTTCTCTTCCTACACCCCCACCAGCACCATATATATTACCTCTGAACCCCATCTCTCTTTTCTTTGAAATGGCATCTTCTTCTGGGAGTTTAGACACCTCCGCTAACTCCTACCCCAAACTACCACCTATAACACCCACTTCCAACTTCTCTTTCTCTAACCCATTCATGTCCTCCACTGCCACCGTCAATCGCGGTCTCTCCGATCGAATTGCTGATCGAAATGGGTCTGGTGTCCCCAAATTCAAGTCAATTCCACCGCCTTCTCTCCCCATCTCTCCCCCTGCTTTCTCTCCTTCTTCCTACTTCGCCATCCCTCCTGGCTTGAGCCTCGCCGAGCTCTTGGACTCCCCAGTTCTCCTCTCCACTTCCAACGTATGTACACCTTTTCAAAATCATTTCTCTTTGCTTTTCATTTTCTGGGTTCTGTTTGCTTGTTAAGAAAACAGGGGAAAGAGCATCAAGTCTTTTGATTTCCTCTGCTTTAGTTTCTGCCTGTGTATGTATCTTGATTTGAGTGAGCGAAAAAAGACACTCCCTTTTTCTTTTCCCTCCACAAAATTCTACTCAAATCCAATATTCAAACACAACCCGGAAACCCAAAAAAAGAAAAAAGAAATTTTTTTTATCCACTTTGATATTTTACTCTTTACTATTATTTTTCCCTTTTTTTTTGCTAACCAAACAGGGCATCTGGATGAATCCATAACCCATATCTTCTGCCTATGTGTTTGAATTTATTCTCTGTTCTCTTTGTGTTTGGTGTAACTGAATTTTATCTTATTTTCTTTTCTTTCTTGCATATGTATATGCAGATTCTACCATCTCCAACTACTGGAACTTTCCCAGCTCAGGGCTTCAACTGGAAGAGCAATTCCAACAACCACCAACAGAGTATCAAGCAAGAACAAAAGAACTACTACGATTTCTCTTTCCAGACCCAAACAAGGCCTCCAACATCATCCACTACAAGTTTTCAGTCTCAAATTCCAGCTGTAAGTTTATATAAATTCAATCCCATTTCTTTTTTCTTTTGTTTTTTAATCATAATTCGCTCTAAAACCCTTAACTTTGTTCAAATGATCAGGAAAACCAGTCATGGGCTTTCCCAGAACCCGCCACCAAATCCGAAATCGCTTCGATGCAGAGCTTTTCCCCTGAGATTTCCACAATTCAAAGCAATTCTCAAACCAACCCTGGGTTTCAATCCGAGTATAATCAATATAACCAATCATCATCGGTGAGAGAGCAGAGAAGATCAGAAGATGGATACAATTGGCGAAAATATGGGCAGAAACAAGTGAAAGGGAGCGAAAACCCGCGAAGCTATTACAAGTGCACATTCCCTAATTGCCCAACAAAGAAGAAAGTTGAGAGGTCTATAGAAGGGCAAATCACTGAGATCGTCTATAAGGGTAGTCATAATCATCCAAAGCCTCAATCTACTAGGAGATCATCATCATCAGCTTCTTCTCAAGTAATTCAACACTACAATCCCGAAATCCCAGATCAGTCCTATGCTTCACATGGCTCTGGGCAATTGGATTCGGTTGCGACGCCAGAGAATTCTTCAATATCCATCGGAGATGATGAGATTGATCGAAGCTCTCAGAGGAGTAGATCAGGAGGAGATGAGATTGATGAAGATGAACGTGATCCCAAAAGATGGTAAATTTGATTGCATAATTTGTTTCAGAAAGTTATGATTTTGTTATGGTTTTGTTTGGTTCCTGGGTAATTTTGTATGGATCTGATTCATTTTCTCTTTCATTTTCCAGGAAAATAGGGGCAGAAAGTGAGGGCATATCGGCCCCGGGCAATAGGACGGTGAGAGAACCTAGAGTTGTAGTTCAAACAACAAGTGATATTGATATTCTTGATGATGGATATAGGTGGAGGAAATATGGACAGAAGGTGGTTAAGGGAAACCCTAATCCAAGGTATATATATAAACTTTGATTGTATTTTTGCAATATTTTAATGATTAGGGTTGTAATTTTTTGGCCCAATCTTGAAAAAATGTGAAATTTTTCGATCCAAATAATGTAATATTGACACATGAAATTATATGCCAACTTGATATAATTATTTTAACTTGAAATGAAGGTCGTCAAAATCGTTCACATCATTCCCTATAAATTTCTTGTACAATTTTTCCATTTGCATGACATTACATTGTTGTATAATATTACGATTCATTTTATAACTTGTAGGAGCTACTACAAGTGCACATTTCCAGGATGCCCGGTGAGAAAACACGTTGAGCGAGCTTCCAACGACCTAAGAGCGGTGATTACAACCTACGAAGGCAAGCACAACCACGACGTTCCCGCAGCACGTGGCAGCGGTGGCCACTCGGCGAACCGACCTCTGCCGAACACCACCACCAACAATGCAACCGCAGCCATTAGGCCTTCGGCAATGTCCCACCACTATTCATCCACCAATCCAATTCGCAATTCGAGGCTCCAAGCATCTGAAGGCCAAGCACCCTTCACACTAGAGATGTTGCAGAGTCCCGGGAGCTTTGGATTCCCAGGATTTGGGAACTCATTGGGCTCTTACATGAATCAGCCCCAACTCGGAGACAATTTGTTCTCTTCGAGAACCAAGGAAGAACCTAGGGATGACATGTTCTTTGAGTCATTGCAATACTAAATTTTGCAATAGTTTTTTGAAGATTGATTTACTATAAAGGGATTAAGGTTTCAATACAATAAAAAGCAAGGTTAAGAAGGTCAGATTTATTTGTTTATTTGTCATTTTGTTAGTTTTTTTGGTGTATATTTTTACAGGGATTTGGTTTTGTACATTCAAAGGAATTATATGGTTGTAGAAGCGCCATGACTTTTTGTTTGTTTTTTTTTTGTCCCAATTGTTTTGAGGCCATCATTCGTAGCCTCAATTCATTTTTGGCAACCACACTATTGAATTTTTTTTATTTTCCTTTTGGATGTATCAAAAAAGTATTTAGTGATTTTTATAGCTAAAAGTTGCTTTATTTCCATCTAATCGTCTATTATGTTCATGAAGCTAACATGAGAGTTCATTTAAACTAATCTTGAACATACAATTGCCCCGTTTGGTAGAGTTGTGAGAAAGTGATTATAACTTATAACCTAAGAGTTTATAGCTTATAACTGTGAATATAAGCTGATTTTTTACTTATAAATTAAGATTCTTCTCCCTCACTCAAAGAATAAGTTGATTTTTGACTTACAAAAAGTTATAAGCTGTATTATTAAGCTGAATCAAACACATCAAAATAGCTTAAATTAAGTTAAAAGCTGAAATAAGCCAAAAATAAGCCCTACCAAACAGGGCCAATAACAATGTCTGGTGCAATATTAGTCTTGAGATTTTTCCTTCTAAAATTGAATATCTATTAAAATGACATTTAACTATTGGTGTTAGGTCAATCCCACATCAATCAGCGAGAGATTTCCACTTTCACCATATAAGTGTACTGGTTACCCCCACCTATCAATAGGCCTTTTTCCCTGATGAGGAACAACACGAAGCGGACAATATTGACGGTCCTTGAGAGAATAGGCATCGCGATAATAATGCACAACTGTATAGAGATTTATTATTTTAAAATAAAATAGAATAACATTAAATAATATTTAATATGCCATCGTCATAAAAATTGTTTTGCAAAAATAAGAAAAATTAAAAGGGTTATGTACAAATTTATAAATACAAATGTAAAATGATACTAATAGCTTAAGGCAAATGTTAACAAGGGTACACTAGACTTTGTTTGATGTTGAAAATTTGGTAAAAAGTACATAAGAACATCCGCATCAAACTCTCTACAATAGCTTTGAAGCTATTGTAAAGAGTATCAGCATCAAATCCTTCATCCATTAGCCTCAACAAATATTTTGTAAATTAACTTTTTGTTAAATTTGCTACACTCAACAAAAATAAAGAGGCACTATTCATTAGTTACATTATTTTTTATTATATTTTTTGGAGCAAAACTGGGCCAAAATCTTTAAACTGGTCTTCCATTCGGATATCCTACCGGATGTCCTGTGAGTGCTTGTAGCAGAAAAAGAAAAATGTCTAAAATTAGTCTAACCGGTTGATCGGTCAACAACAATTTTTTTTTTCAACTCCGCTACATAGCTCGAAATATTAACAGTTCGAATGGCTCGAAATCCCAAAACGACGTCGTTTTAGGATTTTTTTTTATTCTCTTACTAGTAAGATAATATTTTCCATACCATTCGAGCTCTACGCATTCGAGCTCTCACGCATTTTCCTTTTTTTTTATTTTTTTTTCATTTTTTAAGAATTATTTGGTGGCACCTCATCAATTTAATAAAAAAAGAAGAATAACAAGTACAATAAGAAATTAATATTTTAATAAGATTGAGTTCAGAATAGAGAGTTTGATGCAGTGAATACTAAAAAAGTGACTAGTTAAAGAGGCTGATGCGGATGCTCTAAGGGGGCATTTGTTAATATTTGTCTTAAAAATGTATTGATTTCAATAAAAGCGCATTGAATTTAATAAAAAGTATTCTTCAATTTTGTTGTTCTTTATTTGTGTTCTAGGAGCACTTGTTAGCAAGGCTCATAGTTTAAGGATTAGGCTTCTCTTATGTTCACATTTTAACATGAGATAACTTAAGGGACCCGTAGAGCCACCACAATCCCATTTTAATGATTTAAACCGTTCATTTTTTAAGACTTGTTGAGTAGAATATTCATGTAAAAAATTAAGATAATTAAATATTGGTACTTATATGTTTGAATCAAATTTGTATTGTAAAAATAGAAGGTTATTCTTGAAATTATTTTTGTCGTCCATTTTTCTTAAAACAAATATAATTCAAACATATAATTATCGATATATAATTATCTTATTCTTTGAATGAATATTCTACTCAACGAGTTTAAAAAAATGAACGATTTGAATTTACTGAAATTGATTTCAAAATAGAACTACCAAATTCAAACGCACTCTTAAGTTGAGATGGTAATTTCAAAAAAGCCAAATCCTAATTTAAAAATAATTAATAATGAGCAAGGTAATGTGAATGTTTTCTTAAAAAAATTGGTAATAACCTTTACTGACAACAATGAACTTTGCCGCAAACGCATGAAGTGTGAAAAGATGACACGAGATATTTTTTAGGATTCATTTATTAGTAACATAAGCAATCGTCACTATTACATTGTGCAATCGTCACTAATACATCGTATGTATTGTAAGTTTGAACGGGTCAAATAATTGTGGCTGAGGAGAGGACGGGAGTATATATTCAAGCGCACGTTGGTCAAATGTCGACCCATAAATTTTAGGGACATTTATTCTTTTCTTTTTTTTTTTAGGTTTTTATTAATAAATATTATTTAGGAGTGCTCAACCCTAAGAAGTTTATAAAGGAAATTTATAATTTACTTAATCTTATGTATTTATGTCTTTATTTTATAACGTTAATTTTTTTTTTATTTACATTATTTTTTTACACTCTTATACCCTTTTATTTAATGTTGATATGCATTAACTACACATCACTATTTAATGTTGATATACATTACACATAAAAAATTAAACATGATTCTTTATTGATTGTCATTATGTTTTAATAGTTCACATGCATCCAAATGTTAACTGTACGTGATGACATGAATGTTCACATCAGATGACGTGAATGTGAATATTTATATCAGATGACGTGAATGTTCACGCTAAAACATATGAATGTGAATACAAATGTTTATGTTCATAATGTTAATATCAGATGACATGAATGTTCACACTAAAACATATCACAAGTTGAGGATTGTGGTTGTATAATATGATGCAATTCTGATGTAAATTTTAACATCACTTTTATCACAACATCATCTGATGTGAACATTCACATCATCATGTACAGTCAATATTTGGATGTATATGAACTACCAAAACATAATGACAATCAATAAAGAATTATGTTTAATTTTTTTTGTGTAATATATATCAACATTATATAGTACTGTGTAGTTAATGCATTTTTTTAGTGTGAAGATATAATGACAATCAATATTAAATATCAACATTAGTGGGGGCATGAAAAATTTAGGGTATTTTAGTTTTCTTACCTCAAATAGGACCTAATGGAATAGTCAAAAAGGATATGGGTTAGATGGAATAAAACTCTTAGAAAGGAGATTTATCAAAAAAACTTTTTTCTTTTTCTTTTTCTTTTTTACTTACTTAGGTTTCATTTGTCAACTATACATTTTAATTAAAAAGTTAAAAAGTCATTATAAATTATCGCATCACTTTCTCTATTTTTCTGCATATCTTTTCATAAAAAGTCAAAAAATTATTAAAATAACACGTTTCCAAACGATGCCTTATATTATATTTAATTTAAATTATTTTTTAACTTTTCAATAAGTTTTATGAATGACATAATTATCAAAATACTTCTAATAATAATATTCACATTGACAGTGTGAATGTTTCGTGATGTGAATATTCACACTATCAATGTGAACATTCATATGTCAATGTGCACTTTCACACTTTAAAATATAAATGTTCACAACATCAAGTTGCTAAGCCTTCAAAAAATATTTATAAAAATAAAATTATCTATAAAATATTTTAAATATGATAATAAGGATTTGGTGGATTAGATGTCTGTAACAACCCAGATTTTTAACTATTCTGTAAAATTTATACTAATATTATTTACTTACAATTGGAAAAATATATGATTTATTTTGTATTATTATGTATAATTTTGTAAAATAATATAATTATTATGAATTTAAGGATCAAAATATAAATAAATAAATAATAATATTGATAATGATGATAATAATAATAATAGATGTGGTAGTAAAATAAATAATTAATTATCTGTTAGTATAAGATAGAGTGAAATTTAATTAAAAATTAATTTATTTATATAATTATATTAAAATATTAGATCAAAATATAATTACCTTAAATATCTATTAAAAATAAGAATGAATCTATGAAGCCTGCCACGTATACGCCTTATCTCCTTATGAATAGGGAGGCGTTTCACCTTGGAAGAAGAAAGAAAAGAAAGAAAGGAAGAGAGAAAGAGGATGGAGAAAGAAAAGAGACCAGGAAGGAAAAAATAATGACAGTTAAGAAAGTCTTTGACAGGAGAAACAAAGCGTAAGGTATTAAAGTTAAGGTGAATTATATTATATTTTGAGTTATTCTTATATATTTTATGTATATTTTAATTTATCATATTTATTTTATACAAGTTATGTTTTTATAATTATATAACTTATGTTTTTATAAATTATTATAAATTATATAAATATTTCAGTTACGTGATTTAATTTCTGAACCCTATTTGTGAAAATGAAACCCATAGATATATTTATTTATATTTTAAAGAATATTTGACTATAACCTTATAAATAATTATATTTTGTAAGTACCACCACGGTAGTCCCATGCCTTGGGGACTTAAATAACCATCCGCCTCTGTTTGACCACTTTGTAGACCTCTGTTTGTCATGGATCCATTGCCCTCTGTTCTGTGCGGAGATAAGTACTACACTATTGTGAGAGCTACCTCTATAATCCGTACGAGCCACCTCTTGAATCCGTGCCTCTATATTGTTATGAATCTATTGACCACTATTCTGTGCAGAACAAAGTATTGTACGGAGCTAAGTGCTACACTATTGTGGGAGCCACCTCTAGAGTTCGTACAAGCCACCTCTTGAATCCGTACCTCTGTTCTGACTGTCACTTCTGTGACTTCTATTCTGTTCTGTTCAGTACTGTGGTTATGGTTATTTACTTACATAATTTCTGTATTTCAGTTTCTGCCACTTAAATGATTTGTTTACCAAATTACCGTGATTATGGTTATTTATTTACATAATCTTAGTTTTGCTACTTAAAGGATTATTTGTTCCGACTAAGTTATCTTAAATGTTTTGGCTACATAACTATCCATGGTTATTTCGTGTCTTTTATACTCTTAGTAT